AGTGAGACCCAGGACTTGGGAGTGGGGCCTCTGGCCCATCATTTTTGTGACTTGGACAAGTCAGGGTGCTCTCCATGTCAGACGTGTGTTCTCTACCCATCTGCTTGGGAACAAGGGAGCTGCGTCCTATTCTGCATTAGGGAGTTCCAGGAACTCGCGCGCGCGCACGTGTTTGTGTGTCGTTTTCAGCCACCAGTGTTCACCAGGGACTTGGTGCTGCCATGGAGGTGCCCAGAAGCAGGGTGTCTCCCATAAGGGTACACATGACACTCATAAATGGATTCCTGTGTCACAGAGTGCTTTGAAGCTATTTATAATATATTATGTAATTTATATAGTATATATAATATAATTACGTTACATCGTGGTTAACTGTCTGTCTCTCCCACTGGAGCACAAGCTCCCTGAGATCAGGACCTTACTCTCCCTGCTGAACATTGAGGTATCTATTGATTATTGTGAATGAATGAATGAATGTTCTATGAGGAGTGCTCTTTTCTTTTCTTTTTTGAGTCGGAGTCTCACTCTGTCACCCAGGATGGAGTGCAGTGGCACACTCTCAGCCACTGCAGCCTCAACCTCCTGGGCCCAGGCGATCCTTCCACCTCAGCCTTCTGAGTAGGTGAAACACAAGCACGCACCACCACACCTGGCTAGTTTTTCTTGATTTGTTATAGAGATGAGGTCTCGCCAAGTTGTCCAGGCTGGTCTTGAACCCCTGGACTCAGGCAATCCTCTCGTCTCTGCCTCGCAAAGTGCTGGGATAACAGGTGTGAGCCACTGCACCCAGCCAGGCACTCTTTTTGTTAATGTTCTGGAATCTGCACCTTCAGCAGAGCCCCCAGGAAACTGCAGTCGCTGTTGCAGTCCCTTCCATCTTCCCCCTTCATCCCTCCTGCCTCCTCTTCTCCTAGTCCTTAGAACCATTTCTGAGCCGGGCTCGGTGGCTCAGCCTGTAATCCCGTGCCTTTGGGAGGCTGAGGTGAGTGGATTGCCTGAGCCCGCAGGTTCGAGACCCGCCTGGGCAGCGAGACCTCATCTCTACAATAAATAAAAAATTAGCCGGTGTGGTAGTGCGCGCCTGTAGTTCCAGCTACTTGGAAGGCTGAGGCGGAAGGATCGCCAGAGCCCAACAGGTCGAGGCTGCGGTGGCCGGGAGCGGCTACTGCACTCCAGTCTGGGCGACAGAGTGAGACTCCAACTCAAAAAAAAAAAAAGAATCATTTTTGGCAGCAGCTCAGCCTCTGGAAATATACCTCAGAATGGCCTTGACTTTCTTCCAAAAAGCAACAGAAGTCATTTGGGACCACATGTTCGCGTTAGTGTGCTGGCCACGTGGGTCCCTCCCTAGAGATGATCTGTGAGACATAGGGATCAGATGGATATTTTTGTGTGGCAGGAAACTCTCCCTGTTGGCCATTCCCTCATAGAGAAGGCTCCGGTGTGAGACCTGGCAGAGAGACCCCGGGAAGCCTCATGGGAGGGGACAGATCCATTCTAGTTGTGTTACTTTTTAAAGCAGTACTCAGGCTTCTGGTCCTGCCTCCTGTGTATACTCATGTGGAAGAGAATTGAAGACTCAAATGTCAGAAGCCGTTTGGCAGTGACAGGGAGCAGGTCCCCAGAACAGAAGGAGGCCCTCAACTCGGAGGTGGATGGACCGCTGGCAGGTGTTTCCTTGTGGGGTAGTTCCAGAACCTTATGTGGACACTTGTGTCTACAGGCATGGTCAGAAGAGGCAGGGTGCTTTCAGGAGCTTTTTCTGTGAGGGTGAGGCATCAGTGAGTGTCACCAAATGGTGGAAATCAACACAGCTGGGAACCTGCATGTGACTTGTTGGAGCCAAACCATCCTTAAGATATCTTCAGCCGGGTGCTCACGTCTATAATCCTAGCACTTTGGGATGCCGAGGTGAAAGGATTGCCTGAGCCCATGGGTTCGAGATCAGCCTGGGCAACTTGGTGAGACCTCATCTCTACAATAAATTTTTTAAAAATTAGCCAACGTGGTGATGTACACCTACAGTTCCAGCTACTTGAAAGGCTGAGGTGGAAGGATCCCCTGAGCCCCGCAGGTCGAGGCTGTGGTGGCCGTGAGCATGCCACTGCACTCCAGCCTGGGTGACAGACTGTGACACCGACAAAAAAAAAAAAAAGATGTAGTCTTCTCCCCTTCGAGCCTCCTCTCCAGCTTCTGGTGTCAGGAGAGAAACCCAGGACCTTGGCTATGACTTCCACTCTGATTCCCTCTCTCCCAGGCACAGGCCCAGCTTTTGGGGACACACCTTCTTACTCCATCCTGTACTGGGGGCCGATCCCCTCCCCGGCCATGAATGGGGTGGCCTGTGCTGGGGGCCCTGCGCCTCTTTGGGCACGCAGGTGGGGCAACTGCCTAGATGACCACCACTTGCCGGGCAGGTCCCCCCGTGTGTCCATAGCACTGGCCCGGTGGCTGCATTGCCAGGCCTTGCCCAAGCCCCAAGGAGCCCAGTTTCTGAGCCCTGGGTTCTGAGCCTGGTCTGGAGCCCATGTCCCTGCTGGTCTCTGATCCCTTAGTACTTGGCCACCAAGCCTGCAGCCTGGACTATTATGGCCATCAGAAATCCATATCATAGCATCCATGTCAAATACCTTAGTAATATTATTCTATTGCAAAAAATATTTGGAAGGACTCAAAATTATTTGGAATTACTTAGGCCAGTCATGGTAACTCATGCCTATAATCCCAGCACTTTAGGAGGCTGAGGTGGGAGGATCTCTTGAGGCCAGGAGTTTGAGACCAGCCTGGACAACTCATTGGCTTTTAAATGGGCTATGATTTCTTAGAAAGCCTCAAGTCAACTCAGAAATTCTTCCTAAGAAAATGTAGCCTACAGGCTGGGCGCGGTGGCTCACACCTATAATCCCAGCACTTTGTGAGGCCGAGGTGAGAGGATTACCTGAGCCCGCGTGATTTGAGACCAGCCTGGGCAACTTGGGGAGACCTTATCTCTACAATAAATTAAAAATTAGCCAGGCATGGTGGCGCGTGCTTGTAGTTCCAGCTACTTGGAAGGTTGAGGCGGAAGGATCACCTGAACCCAGCAGGTCGAGGCTGCGGTGACCGTGAGCTAGCCACCATACTTCAGCCTGGGCAACAGAGTGAGACTGAGATTCCAACTTAAAAAAAAAACAATGTAGCCTACAAATAATTTTTCCATGTAATGAAATGTTTATGAATATACTATTAATGAAGCAAGTCGACATCATGTTACACTTTGTGAACATTTCATTAAACTTTTAAAAATTTGATTTTTCTGGCTGGGCGTGGTGGCTCATGCCTACAATCTCAGCACTTTAGGAGGTGAAGGCGGGAAGATTGCTTGAGCCCAGGAGTTTGAGACCAGCCTGGGCAATATAGCAAGACTTCATCTCTATAAAAAATAAAATAATTAGCAGACATGATAGCGCACACCTGTAGTCCCAGCTACTTGGGAGGCTGAGAAGGGAGGATTGCTTGAGCTCATGAGTTGGAGGCTGCAGTGAGCCATGATCATGCCACTGCACTCCAGGGTCCAACAGATTGAGACCCTGTCTCAACAAAATTTTTTTTGATTTTGTATATTTCCTTTTCATACCTGGGGATTAAATATATTATGCATGTGTTAAACCTGTGAAGGTCATTGGAAAAATTCACAGACCAGAGCTGATGGACAAACCGGCCCAGCTCCAGCCTGGGGAGCCAGAGAATAGGAAAGGGGAGAGCGGTGGAGAAAAAAGAGGTGTTGGTCAAAGACGTCCAGGGTCTCTGATGGCGTTGGCAGGACTCGGGCCATAACAGCTGGGCTCTGGAACACTTTCTGATGGTTGGTGCATTTTATCTGGGAAAAGGCTTTGAACCGCAATGCTGTTGCCTGGAGGCTCTCTCCTAACTCTGGTCCAGTTTCCCACTAGCTCCCTATCTTCACTCAAGCTTCTGCTCAAATTCACCTTAGAGCAAATGATGTTCGCCCATATCTAATGTGAGATGCAGTGTCAAGGAGCCGTCAGTGAAGGTGTGTGGACACTGAAGACCACTAGGAGTAGGGACCGTCCTCTGTGATTCTGAGTCTGTCTAGCTGTGTGACCTGTCTTGATCAGCCTCCTGAAGGCAGGTCTTGTTCTGTGTGCACCAGTGTCTGGCCCCTGACAGCTCCACACTAAAGACGTGGCTGTGGGCACAGTGCGTGAACAATGAACACGTCTTTGCCCCGCCTGCCTTGGTGAGAAGAACCCGGTAGGAAGTGGTGCCCTCTTCAAGTGCTAAGCTGCTGGGCCTGGACCCTGGGACAGGAACACGTTTTCCATCTGCACAGGGCTTTCCGGGAGTTCACTCTGGAAGAGCCGTGGTTCCTAGTGGCTCTCACCCTTCTGTAGGGGAGAGGGGATTTTAAAAGGCAGATTGGCCGGGCTCTGTGGCTCAGCCTGTAATCCCGCGCTTTGGGCGGCTGACGTGAGTGGATGACCTGAGCCTGAGGGTTCGAGACCCGCCCGGGCAACTTGGCGAGACCTCATCTCTACAATAAATAAAAAATGAGCCGGGCATGGTAGCGTGCGCCTGTAGTTCCAGCTACTCGGAAGGCTGAGGCGGAAGGATCGCCGGAGCCCAGCAGGTTGAGGCTGCGGTGGCCGAGTCTGCACTCCAGTCTGGGCGACAGAGTGAGACTCCAACTCAAAAAAAAAAAAAAAAGGGCAGCTTGAAGCCTCACATCCAGAAGCTGACTCGGTGGGCTGGGGACAGACCCCGGGACCTGAGTATGACAGACCCTCTGGGTGAGACTGACGCTGCTGGTCCCCAAAGGACCAGTCGTGACTTTCGAGATGCCCAGCTCTCTTGAGCCCCATGAGGTGTGACCCTGTGCCTCATGTCTGAGGACCGTGGAGCCTGCACGGAACAGAGCCACCAGGCTAAGGCCTCGGACCTTAGCTCTGGCTGTGAGACTCTAGCACTGGTGTTCTGGCTCTCCCATTTCTTCTTTTCAGGCCAGAAGGGGGGTCTGGTGACTCAGGAGCTGCCGGCCACACTGGCTCTCAGCTGGGGCCTTCAGGACCACGTGGCCGCTTCACACCCCATCCGAAGCCTGTGGCCGACTGTGGATGCAGATCTCACTGTTTTGTGAGTGTGGGTCTGGGCGCCTCCAGGAGGACAGAGGTGCCACCGTTCTGCCTGTTGACCTCAGAGGGGGCAGAGAGGTGCTGGCACGGGGACTGAGTGGCAAGCCCTATGCAGAGGGAGCAGCCAGCCTCCCCAGAGCCGGACAGAGCCTCTCGGCCCAACTTGCTCGTGGCACGTGGCCTGTGACTTCCTCTGCTCCAGCCCCCAGTTGAGGAGGTGACTGCTGATGTGGGTCCTGGTGGCCCCACACCTGGACAGACACCAAGTAGTATGCAGAGCTCTCAGGTTGCACATGCGCTAGACAGTCCAAGAGAACAGGGTGTCCGGCTGCGGTCATTTACATCTGCAGCACAGACTTGGGACCCTGAGTTACTGGGCGTAAGGGAGGGGACTTCAGGCCTTGGCCCCCAAAAGTGCACACAACTGGGCTCACAGTCACCCATGGCATCTGACCCTACCTGCCAGGTTCACCTGGGGCCATCTGACCACCCACCATTCACTCTACAGAAGCTCAAAGGGCTCCTTCTGTGATGACACAGAGATGACAGAGACAGTCCCTGCTTGTCCTTAAGGAACTTTGCTGATACATGGCGCCCCAAAGCACAGGCATGTGGAGAGCAGTGAGCAGCCTCAGATACAGAGCTGGCACATAGTAGGCGCTGGGCTCGGGACCCTGAGTTACTGGGTGAGTCAGAGGGGACTTCAGGCCTTGGCCCCCCAAAAGTCCACATAGTAGGCTTCACAGTCACCCGGGGTCATCTAACCCCACCCACCAGGTTCACAGTTGCCCAGGGCCATCTAACCCCACCCACCAGGTTCACAGTCGCCCCGGGGCCATCTGACCTCTCCCACTGGGTTCACAGTCACCTGGGGCCATCTGACCTCACCCACCAGATGCATAGTCACGGGGGGCATCTGACTCCACCCATCATTCACTCCACAGAAGCTAGGAGGCCTCTTCTGTGAAGACACAGAGGTGACAGAGACATTCCCTGCCTGCCCCTAAGGAACTTAGCCGATAAATGGTCCCCCAGAGCACAGGCAGGTGCAGAGCAGTGAGCAGCCCTGGGCACAGGGCTGGCATGCAGTGGGTACCAGATGAACCTCTGTGGAGTGGATGAGAAGCCAGAGGAACTCGGCGGAGAGCCAGAAAAAAAGTGCCCTGTGAAGGCAGGGAGGGCATTCCAGCAGAAAGGGATGCGTGTCCTAAATTGTGTGGGACAGGACTGGAAATGTGGCATGGGTGGCGGTGCAGAACAGAGGAGCAAGAGGTCACTTCAGTCGAGTGCAGAGTCCCCACTGGGCATTGTGCCAAAGGTGTGGCACTCAGCTTCTCTTCAGCTCTCTGAGATGGGTCCTGCCATTACCCCCACTTTACAGGTGCACAGTCCGAGGCCCAGAGAGGCCACGTGAGCACTCGAGGCCACGCAGCTGGTGAGTAGTCAAATCGGGTGTTAATCACCCCTCCAGCTGACACTTAGGTGGCCTGAGCGTCCATCTCTTAATCTGTAAAATGGGGACATCCGGGCTTCCCTCCCAGGCTTCTTGAGGGACTAAGCAAGCTGGGCAGGAGCACATGTGAAAAATCTGTGAGAAGATGACAAAAAACACATGGTGACAGTGGTTGCCTTTGGCTAGGCCATGGCGGGGGCCAAGGATGAGGGGAGAAAGAACCGGCCAGTGGTTTGATCGCCTCCCGGGCCTCTGTTGGGTAACACTTACAGGACAAGGAGCCTTCCTGGGCTGGGACTCGATTGAGAGGAGAGAGAAGCTGAGACTGGCACTGCTGGAGCCGGGAGGGGACTGATCGGAGGTGAGCACTCTCGGCACCCCACCCCTCTCGGTGGAAGGGACGCTCTGGCGACGGGCTCCCTCCTCCCCATGGCATGTGCGTTTATCTCTGCAGGCTTCTAGCCCACTGGGTTGCGAGACCTCAGCTCAATACCATTAGTGTCTATCTGCAGAGGGCCCTTGGTAAATTGATTAGAAAGTGGGCTTGTGCATGCTGGTGGGGGCGGGGCGGGCCCTAATCAGATTTGAGCACGAGATGGTATCTAATTCCCTGCATCCAGCGCTGGCTTGGGGATCTCCCTGGGAGCCAGGGCCCCCCTAATTTGGTTTGTGAATACATTAGCCAAACAAGCTGAGGGGCTCCTTTGGGGGGAGCGTTCCTAGGGGGTGAGGAGGAAGGTGTGGGGAAGGCCACGGAAATGGACAAGGGCTTTCTGAGCGGTCCTGGGTGCAGACTGCACACAGACCAGCAAGGGCGTGCGTTTCTCAAGGTTTGCCCCAAGCTGGGAGCATGAAACCAATTTTTTTTTTTTTTCAAGTCAGGGTCTCACTCTGTTGCGTAGCCTGGAGGGCCAGTGGCACAATCACAGGTCACCATAGCCTCCACCTCCTGGGCTCAAGCTATCCTTCCGCCTCTGTATTCTGAGTAGCTGGGTCTACAGGCATGCACCACCATGCCTCACTAATTTTTCTGATTTTTTTTGTAGAGACATGGTCTCGCCATGTTGCTCAGGCTGGACTCAAGTTCTTGGGCTCAAGCAGTTCTCTCACTTCAACCTCCCACGGTGCTGGGATTACAGGTGTGAACTACCACACACAGCTGGAAGCCAACTTTTTTTTTTTTTTTTGAGTGAGAGTCTCACTCTGT